TGAGGGCAATGAATGTACAAATGTGCTTTACACAATGAATGTATGTATGGATTGTGATAAAAGTTGTATGAGCCCCTAATAAAATGATTTTTAAAAGTTGACATATCCATACCACATATAGTTTAAACAAGTTATTATAGCACTTAAGAGTGACAATCTTTATTCTTTGGGGTAAACGGTTATTTAGCTTAAAAGTGACTTTAATCTAAGCACAACTCAGGACCAGGGTCTTAGTGTCTCCTCCAGTTTGAACAGTTCTTATAAGTCGAGACCCTTAAGAATTTGAAGTTCTATTCCACATTTTTCTTTCCTTTTTATCAGGATCCATCTTGTGCATTCCTGATCGGGATGTTCCATTAGTGGTAGCTGGTTGCAGGCGGAAGAGGTAGTGGTTCATGGAGATAATGAGTGGTAACTAGTTTTTGGAGAACTCAACTAACAGAGGAGTTTCTTCCTTTTCCAACCTTACCCTCCGTTCAGTCTTGTTAGTTGCTGTCAAGTTGGCTCTGCTTCCTGGTAGCCTTTCATAGAACAGATAAAAAACTGGTCAAATTCTGCACCATCTTTAGGTTATTGGTCTGCTTATATTTGTTGTTCTAGCTATTGTGTTCTTGGAATGCTTTCCAGCCTAGGGGGCTCGACTGCTAGCACCATATCAGATATTCTTCTGCTATGATCCAGAGGGTTTCCACTCACTTAATTTCAGAAGTAGACTGCCAGGCCTTTATTCCCAGCCTGTCTTCATCTGGAAGTACTATTGAAACCTGTCTACCATAGGTGACCCTAGTGGCAGGGCTTCCTGGTGGCCACATTAGGACAAATTGATAGATGGGTAGTGGACTTTAACACAGCCCCTGTATTTTCCCCCTTCATAATGCTTTCACAATTGTACATATGTTATTTATTACTTTGTTGTCAATTTGAGAGGATTAAGAGTGAAGGGTTGGAGTCTAGTCTGTGAATCAGGTGGTAGCTTGATGACCTCATTTGGAGGCACAATGGAGATAAATAGCTTGCTTGAGGCAGGACACAGTCTCACTCCCCTGGGAGACATTGAAGCTGACAATTCTCAGGTATAAGGACCCAATAGTGGCTTTCCAAAGGTGTGAATCTTGACAGAAGCAAGTAGTCTCAACTTTCTCCCTCAAAGCAGCTGATGCATGTGAACCACTGATCTTATGGTTAGCCATGCAATGCTTACCTGTGCCACACTAGGACTCCTGCGCCTTGTGGTAGCTGGTGCTTAAAGTGGAGACAGGTGTGAGATCAATGTTGATTTATGGTTACCAGGGGCAGGATGGGAAGGAGGAGTCATCTTTGAAGCAACATGGAGGTTCAGGTGTTTGTATTGATGGGGATTTTGGCAATGATTATGGGCAACGGTTTTATAATATGCTTAATGTAATTGATATCACTAAATCATACACCTGGGAAAAAAAAGGTGGGGGGAAATCACCAAATGTTGTATAATATCCAAGGGGGCCTTCAAAACTTCATGGGAAAATTCCATTATTTTTAAAATTCCATTTTCCTATTAATTTTAAGCCCCTCATATTTTTATAACTATAAAAAATTAATAGAACACATGTACAAAAAAGAGACAAAAAGTGCCAAAGGGAAAAGACAATTATGAACAGTTAGGACATCTTGGAAATCAGAGCGGAGCCACTTTGAAAACTTCTGAAGAGCTGACAGCACTTGGCACTTCCGAGGTGCTGAGAGGAAGTGAGAGCACTGAGAAGCCCAGCTTCAAAGGAAATTGTCCTGGAAAGCTACAGGAGGGCCTGGAGAATTTGGCCCCTGAATTGAGTTAGCGTTTCCATGCCCACAAGCAAACAGGAGTTCTGAGGTGTGCACAGAGAGGTGAGGGGCAGAGGGGGAGGAAGAACATGTTGGCAGTGCCCTAGGGCGCTGCAGGGCATGGTGGGCATGGCTACTGAGCCCGGCTTCCCTTCACCAGACGCTGGCTCCGAGCTGTCTCCTCTCCAAACACAAGGCCAGCTCCCCTCAGGCTCTGGTCGAGCTGAAGGAGAAACGAAGCCTTGTTTGCAGTTTCTGGGTACACCAGAGGAATGGGAGCCTGGCACCCTGCTTGTTGTTCCTTTGGGCCCTTGTTCGTTTTGTGTTCCCTTGCGGCTCCTTTCCCCGTGGACTGCCGCCTACTAGAAATGGCTTGCTCGGTAATATTTTGTTATCCCAAGGACGTTTTAAGGACCAGCACTTGTCTGTCCGTTTGTCGGGTGGGGATGACTTGGGGGTTGCTGTGATGCGGAAGCTAGGCCACTGGTATTTCAAAGAGCAGCAGGGTCTCCATGGACAGGTTTCAGTGGAGTTTCCAGACTAGCGCCAACTGGGAAGAAAGGCCTTTTGAAAATTAGCCAAGGAAATCTTACAGATCACAGAGAAGAGTGTCTGACTCTCTGGCGTTCAGAAGGGATCAATTGTCAGAGAAAGACGTGTCTAACAGAGCGGGCTAACATGACAGAGACCCTTGGTGAGCTCAATTGGCACCATAGCCACACCACTGGAACTGTGACGACGACGGCAGAGGACTGGCACTGCTTTGTTCTGCTGGACAGAAGGCCGCCATGAGTAGGGGGTGACTAGATGGCATCTATCTGTTCTTTATTTCCTTCCTTCCTTTCTTTCTCTTTGGAGAAATGCCTATTCAATTTCACTGTCCATTTTAAAAAATGGATTGCCTTTTTGTTGTTGGGTTGTAGGAGTTCTTTATACATACAGTCAGAATATGAAGACCTTATTAGATAGATGGTTTCCAAATATTTTCTCCCAATCCCTAGGTTGTCTCGACTTTCATAATAATGTCTTTTGATGCATAGAAGTTTTTAATTTTGAAGTTTGGTGCATCTATTTTTTCAGCCTTGAACATTTGGACTTTTGGGGGTAGCCTCTTCACTCGCCATGCCCGTATTTAATGCTTAATGTTAGTCTGCCTTTGTTTGGGCATAACTTTGGTTTATGTGGGGACCTCACAGAGTGCTACTCTACTCTGCCATGAGTTGGTGCCAACTCAAGGGCAACTGGTTTTGGTTTTGTAGACCTTACGCAATCATGGGAGGAGCTGGGGAGGTGAAGGCCAAAGGGTCACTAACCAGTTCATCTGAGAAGCCAGGAAGGTCCAGCTGCCAAGATGGGCTGGGCTGGGAAGGACATGGGTGTGTGTGTCAGGGAGCTGCCTAGGGAGGGTGCTGCTTCTGTGTAACTCCTCCTATTCAGCCAAGCATCAGCAGGTCAGCAGTCAGGAAGAAGAGTTGGATGCAGAGCAGAGAAGAGAGAACCTGCTGGGCATCTCTGTGATTGTCCAGCTCTGTATCTGACAACGATGCCCTTCAGAGAATAGTAGTTCCTCCTGTCATCTGCCTTCCAAATCTCACTCATGCTTTTCTTTTTGGTCATTCCTGTTCTGAAACCTCACAGGAAAGGACATTCTGGAAAACATAGTTCCAGGGAAACCTAGTTGGCACAGCCCAGTTCAGAGGTTATTGTTCTAGTGAGTCCAGAGAAGCCAAGGACTAGATCTATAGTCAAAGTCCTTAAATATCTCCTTTTAGGGGAAAGAGCTACTATAGTCCTAAGTAGAAATGGTCTACTATTGGTTTGGAGTTAAGCCTGGAAAGTCCCAGTGTTGTGCTGTGAAAACTTGTTTACAGTTTAGTCATTTTGAAAAAAAGAATCTTTTAGTTGAGTGGACTGTTCCTTGCAGAGTGTGCTACCAATGGCTTTGGAAATCTGAGGCCATGCATGGCTCTGGGCTTCTGTGAGCTGTGGGTGAGAGCCAAAGTGGGAACAGACCCAAATGACAGGAAATCATTCTGGTTGCCTCCTGAACATCTTTTTATGTGGGTTTCACTCAGTATGGCCAAAATAAATTCAAGTGATTTCATTACGTGAAACAGACAAACGAAACAAAACAGATACATGTTGTTGTTAATTGCTGCCAAGTTGATTCTGACTGCTGATGAGTCCATGGATGTCAGAGTGGAACTGAACAGAGTAGAGAGCCATAGACCTCTCTGGTAGGGATTCAGCAAGGGCAATGTAACCGAGAGAAATTACTGAAACCCAAATGAAGGCTGAGCATGATAGTGAGACACAAGGAGAGAAAAAGGAAATAGAGGAAAGAACTAGGAGGCAAAGGACATTTCTAGAGGTCTAAATACAGGAATGTACATATGTAAATATATTTATATAGGACGGAGGGGAAATA